TCAGAGAAATAATAGAAAAATTTACATCGGGTAAGGAACTAAGTAGAAGAGCTTTTAGAAAATTACAAGCAGAATTCAGGCATCAATCTTGGAACGAATCTTTTTAGTGAAAAGATTTTTTGTTAACTTTGCAGATGGAATCAGTCAGTGACAAAGTTGGGGGTTTTTTGTTGTTTTGTTTTGGGTTTTTTTTGTTTTGTTTTTTTTACAGGAGGAATGGGAGCACTATACAAGAAGAGCTGGAGGGCTGGGAGGACTACTGTAACGTAAGTACGGAGAAGTTCAACAGCCCAAAGTGTCACATGATGAGTCTGGGCTGATGGCACCAGTAATGAGACTGTCTGTTGGGTGCTCGTATAAACTAGAAGTGATGGAAGAGAAAGAGTCCCCAGTTTATCACAGAATGGCTATGAATCAGAAACACGATACAGCCATTAAGGAGACAAATGGGATCCTTTACATTTAATGGACCACACTCTTTTCACGGCAGAGGGAACTATCTACATTGAAATACCTGGTGCCTTGGCCACAAGCCATCATCTGCAATATCCGATTGTTTCTGGTCACCCCTATCCAAGGAAAATTAATTCAAACTGCAATAAATGCAAGCAAATGCAATAGGAAGATCAGAAACGGAGAACTTTGCTTTTTGAGAGGAGACTAACATTTCCTTTTGTCTAGCAAACGAAGACTAAAGGGTTTAAGTCTCTGTAAGCTTAACTAGAAAAATAAACTCAGTGGAACACTTCAGCTATTTATGCTGAAGAACAACTCTGACATGACAGATGTAGATCATTATAAATACACCAGCGAAGACATTATTTCACTACCAAACAGTTCTAAAACTGCCTTCCAGTAGCAGAAGTCAGGGCCAAATCCCAAATATTCTAAAACTGACATTTGCAATAGTCTAGGAAATTACATCTCATAAACCCTAACAGGGGACTGACTTCATGACTCAGCCTGACGTTCCCGTACCTGGCCTAACACCACCCCAACATTCTCTAAATTTCTCCAACAGTATTCAGTAACCGTTCCACGCTGAAGCAGCACGTCAGCCTGGCTGCTCCTGTATTTGTCCAAA